AATTGTTCCTATGTACCTAAATATGTACTGAAATTTTATTTCTGTACATGTGAGAAAGAGACATATTTTGATATAAAAAGAATTTAGACATATTAAAATGTAAACTTAGAAAAGGTACCTAAAATATTTGCCTTTACTTTAGATAATTCTTGAATTATTGCATTAAAAAAGAGCTTCAAAATATGAATACCTATTTTAAAATGGAAGAATAGAAAGAGGTAAACAACTCAGTATTTCCTCTTCCACATACGATAATTTTTCAAATTAGTTTTCATTATCACTGAATGTCCAAAAACAAACAAACAACAAACAAAAAACCAACAACAACACAATCACAAATATGTCCTTCATAGGCTAAGATGTATTTCAGGGGTTTCGAATCTCAACCTAACCTAACTTTCTTGAAGTGATAAGAAATAACTACATAGCAAAGTAATTTTGGAGGAAAGATGCTAGTTATTGTTGACCTTTAATTGATCTGAGAAATCAGAATGAATGACCAAGTCCACCCTCATTCATGAAATCTCAATGAAAGTGAGGCTTCAATAAATTTGAACTATTCATTTTCTTCCTTCTTCAGACCAGGTTATTTAAAAACAAATTTTGTAGGCACAATATACAGGAAAAGCATCATGTAAAATAAATATTGTGTTTATTAATTAATAATATTATTATAATATATTGAATGAAATTCTTACATGTGTATGTACAAATTTTTTTTAAAATGCCAGTTCTGTGAGGAATATATGGTACACTTATGTAATTATCTCTTCAAATATGAATATATTTCCAACATTTCCTTTCACCAAAATGTGTAAGACATTTTGCCAAAAAACTTTTTCATCACCACTTTAACCTCCTGGTTTCTCAGGGTATATATAAGTGGATTTAAAACTGGAGTAATTGTGCTATAAAGGAGGGTTACTATCATATCTCGTTGGGAGGAGGTACCCACAGTGGGAAGCATATAGTTGAATAATACAGGAATGTAGAGTAAAGCCACCACAGTTAGGTGGGATCCACAAGTAAAGAAGGCTTTTTGCAAACCATGTTGGGAATGTACTTTACACAGAAGGAAAGTAATAATGTAGAGATAGGAGAGGAGTATAAAGATGAAGGGGCCCATAACAACACAGCTGGTTACAATACTAAGCAGCATGAGGTTGAGGTGTGTGCTTCCACAAGCCAATTTCAACAATGGCTTGATGTCACAGACAAAGTGTTCAATTAGATTTGGCCCACAGAAGGGAAGATGAGCCATCGCCACTACATGCATCAAGGCATGGAAAAAACCAGTTAATAAAGTGGCAATTGCCATTAAAACACAACACTCTTTTCTCATGGTAACAGTATAATGCAGTGGGTTGCATATTGCAACATAGCGGTCATAGGCCATGATTCCAAGGAGAATGCCTTCACTACTACCCAAGAAGTATAAGAAAAATAGCTGAACCATGCAGCCATTGAAGGAAATTGTTTGTGGTTCTGTTAGAAACCCAGACAACATCTTTGGAATGGTTATTGTGGAGTGAAATATATCAAGGCAGGAAAGATTTCCAAGAAAAAAATACATGGGGCTGTGAAGGCGAGACTCAGCTGAAACTACAATCACAATAGCTCCATTCCCCACTAATGTGGCCATATAGAGTAGGAGGAAAATGGCAAAGAATATATACTGAAGCTCCAAATCATTGTTCAGGCCCAACAAGATGAATTCTTCCACTTCTGTTTGGTTCTTCATCACTAAGAAAAAATAGACAGAAATATGACAAAAAATAACTATTCAAGATTTGAAAATGATTTTGCAAATAAGAAAAGCAGATGTTGTTGAAAGTAAGAAGAAAACAATAATAGAAATTGCTTAACAAGATAGACATAATAAGTAAGGGATAGGTTAAATAACTATTTACTTTAGGCAAAACATAATTCTCACAGTGGTAGAAATTAAGGAATGGGCCTTTAGAATTTGAATATATGAGGGCAATTTTTTATGCAAATATATTTTGAGATCTCCAATGGTAATAAAGACATTCTTAGTAATTATATCAACTTCCCCAGGATTTCATATAGTTCATATGTATAAAGTTGATTGTTGTCTCTGAGGGAAAAAGTTTCCTGAATTTACTGCCTTGAGTTTAAAATAGGTAACTAACTTAATTCCAATATATTTTATTATCTTTTTCAACTTTTTTTTTCATTTTATTTCATTTGAAATTTGCCTCAAAGTGTTTGTGATGAAATCAATAAGTGTTTTTTAGATATCTTCAGTTTGCACAATAGTTCTGCTCTTGTTTGCAGCTGCTAGAAATTATGTGAAATTCTTGGAAACTACTAGTACTGCATTCAGACAAATTGACTTGCTGTATTAGGAAAGAAATTGCAAGGAGAAACAAACCAGCATCTGAAGTTGACACTGAACTAACTTTGTTCAGACTCCCTTGTTTTATTAAAGCTGTGAAATATTATAAAGTGTTTTACATGGGAAGAAATTAATTAGCATATTTTCAGCTTTAATCTTTGATCACTAATACAAAACATATAAATACATATACTGCACTTAACCTAGGGTAAAGTTGGAAACTACATCCAAAAATAAATAGTAACTAAACGTCTTTCAGAGAACACCCCATATTTCTCAGTAAACTACTGTCACCTGGTAACTATGGAAATAATATCTATAATTTAAAGTGAAGAGATAACTGAACAATATTAAACATTTTTCTTTATAAAGCAACATTCTTAGTAGTCAAAGTTGTCCCTCTTCTTGAAAAGGGGTTGTATCTATTTAAAACGTTTCAGGAAGATTTTTGTTTCCATTGACTTTTGTTTGAAATCCTAGTTTGCACCAATCAACAAATAAACCATAAATACATAGTTTAGATTAATATGTGTCAGGTTTAAGGGGTATGTTATCATAATGAGCATTCCATTCCTTCTTTTTATGTGCTTCAGTGAAATTATCAGTTGTTGAGCTATAAAAGATATGTTTCCATGGTGAAAAGAAAGAGTCCAATGGATCCAATAAAAAAAATCCTCTCAATAAAATGCCCAAAGTAATATCAATTTCTATTAGATATTCAGACAGTTCATACCTTAAGAGTGTCTCTTTCCCAATCACTATGAAAAATTAAAGATAAGTACAGTTTGAGAAGCAGAAGATCAAAATTGTGAAGTTGATCTTATGCAAGAAAGAAACTTTTAAAATATAATACATCAGTAATGGTTTGTTTTTTTATAGCATGTCTATAATTTTTTCTTGGTTGCCACTGGGGAATAAAAGGAACAATTCATGATGCTTAATTCCCCATGGAATTAATCTATCTATTAATTCCTATAACCTATCTAAGTAGAATATATCTACTGAATTTAAGAATGTAAACACTATCTTCCACCAATTTCCATATTTTTAATGGACAGGGTTTTTCTCTCTGTAAGGAATAGTAAAATTGTGTGTGTGTGTGTGTGTGTGTGTGTCCATTTTTTGCTGTTCAGCATTAGGGGAAAAGTTCATTTTCTAAGACAGACTATGTTTCAGGATCACATTGTATCCTACATCCCTTCTAAAACAAGTTTTGCAGGTTTTTTTAAATCAATACATGAGTCACATTATAATAGTGAAATGGGCAGCTCTACAATTGGAATTCTTACTTAGATTTTATGCCATTGGTATAATAATGAACAGCTGTTGAATTTGAGTTGGATACAAAAAAGAATATGTTTTTAAATTACCTCTTGGTTAATGAAGTTTGGTTGCTGTTCATATGTACATATAGACATGAATTTAAGAATGTAAACACTATGTTTTATGAAGTTCATATTTTAATGGATATTTTTCTCTTTCTCTATGGAATAGGAACATTCCATATATTATGAAAGATGGGTGTAATGTGGATAAACATAGGGTTGCCAATTACTGTGTGATGTCAATGATGTTTAGAAAGAGGTTAATTCAAATAGTTCAAAAGTGCTTACATTTTCATTATGTTACTGCTGAAGGTTATAAACTGTAGAGGAGTTTTACCCAGTTTGTAATGCAAAAAGCAAGCTTGAATATGGTGAGTGAAAAGAGGAATCTTATAAGACATGAAGTGTGGAATAGTGTTAATAGTATCGAAGCCTGAAAAGATTTTGTATAAAAACCTGGTGACCAAGGCATAATTGGATGATGACCAGCTGCAATGTTTTTGTTTTTATTTTTTATTATTTTCTCTTTTATTCATTAAAAATTAAACTCCGTCAACTGGACATTTAAAAATGTGTCACAAATACCATTGACTGGTACTAATGGTTGATATGGGTTGCTGCCAGTTATTATTATTATTTATTATTAGTATTAGTATTAGTATTAGTATTTTATTGATTTTATAATAAATTGCCTTATAATAAATGAGTGGCTGTATATTTGAAGTGCCTTCAAAACATCTGAAGGCAGGACAAGAACCAATGGATGGAAATTAATCAAAGAGAGAACCAACCTAGAACTAAGGAGAAATTGATAGTTAGAACAATTAATCAGTGGAACGAGTTGCCTCCAGAACTTGTAGGTGCTCCAACGGTGGAGAATTTAAAGAACTGATTGGACAACAATTTGTCTGAAATAGTATAGGATTTCCTGCTCAAAGGTTGGACTAGAAGGGTTAGATTAGAAGGCATCCGAGGTCCCTTCAAACCCTGTTATTTGGTTATTTATTTCTCAGTTTTATTATTTTTATAAATAACCGAACAAACAAACAAACACAATACTCCTTCTTTTGTCTATTTTACCAAGAATAACCCCATGAGGTGGGCTGAGAGAGATTAATTGGCCCAATGTCATCCAGCTGGCTTTCGTGCCTAAGGTAAGGCTAGAACTCACACTCTCCTGTTTCTAGCCTATGCCTTAACTGCTGAATAAAAGTTGCCCTATAAATATGAATAGAAGAAATAGATAAATAAATAAATAAATGTAGTACTGATACATCAAAGAAAGTTTACTGTCCCCACTATAAAAATATTTTTTTTCAGAATATCCTTTCACCAAAGTCTTTTTTTTTTTTCAAGAATTTTTTCAGTATCATTTTAACCTTCTGGTTTCTCAATGTATAGATAAATGGGTTCAAAACTGGGGTAAATGCACTATAAAGGACTGTTATTATCACATCACGTTGTGATGGGGTACCCATTGTAGGAAGAATGGAATTAAATAACACAGGAACGTACAGTAAAGCCACCACAGTCATATGGGACCCGCAAGTGGAGAAAGCCTTTTGCCAACCCCTCCTGGATTTAACTTTTAAAAGAAGGAAACTAATAATACCCTGAAGACTTTGTTATTCCAGCAAGCCAGGCTAGCCTAATTTTAACGGTTTTAAATTGGATTTTAATGGGGTGTTTTAATTGTGAGCCAAAGTATTTAATCTGGTTTTAAATTGTTTTTAACTTTTATATTTATGTATTTATTTATGTATTTGATCCTGGCTGTTCACTGCCCTGAGTCCTTCGGGAGAAGGGCGGTATATAAATAAATAAATAAATAAATAAATAAATAAATAAATAAATAAATAAATAAATAAATAATATAGATGTAGGAAATAAGTATGAAGATAAAAGGCCCCATAACAAAATAGGTAGTCCCAATAGTGAGCAATATGAGGTTAAGGTGTATGTTGCCACAGGCCAATTTTAGCAAAGGCTTGATGTCACAGACAAAGTGTTCAATGTGATTTGGTCCACAGAAGGGTAGATGGGCAGCCATCACTGCATGCATCAAGGCTTGAGAAAAACTGGAAGACCAAGCAGTTGCTACCATTAGAACACAGATCTCTTTTTTCATGATCAGAGTATAGCACAAGGGATTGCATATTGCAACATAGCAGTCATAGGCCATGATTGCAAGAAGTATGCCTTCAGTACCACCCATGAAGTAGAAGAAGAAGAGTTGGACCATGCAGACATTGAAAGAGATAGGTTGATATTTTATTAGAAATCCTTGTAGCATCTTTGGATCAGATACTGTGGAGAGAATGATGTCAAGGCAGGAAAGATTTCCAAGGAAAAAGTACATGGGACCATGAAGCTGAGGTTCAGTTAAGACCACAATGACAATAGCTCCATTCCCCACTAATGTGACCGTATACAATAGCAGAAAAATTACAAAGATTATGTACTGAAGCTCCAAGTCAACATTCAGACCCAGCAAGATGAATTGTCCAACCTTGATTTGGTTCTCCATTACAAAAAAAGAAGAAGAAGAAGAAGAAGAAGAAGAAGAAGAAGAAGAAGAAGAAGAAGAAGAAGAAGAAGAAGAAGAAGAAGAAGAAGAAGAAAGTCATAAATATGGAGAGAGATAAACCTTCAGTGTTAATATGTTGGCCAAGATTGCCAAACAAAGGCTACCATACTTTGACCATGCAATATGTGTTGTTGATCAATTGGAAAAATCAATCATGCTGAGAGTGATTAATGGAAAAAGGAGAAAGGGGCTGTCTTAGTACCTGATGGATGGTCACTATATAGGATGAGACTGGGCAGATCTGAGATACAATACGGAGGAGCATGGAGAGTGCTGATGGTTTGGCATGACTGAATGATTAACAATGATGATGACCAGTAATATAAATAAAAAAGTCAGCTAAGAATCTAAGGCCACATACAAGAAGGACAGTATAATAGTTATATCAATCTAAAATCTGAGTAAAAAGAGTTTAATTAAGTATATTAAAATAGGAAAAAAAATGAGGTAAAATAGAAGTAAAAGTAAAAGTACACTAACATAAAGGGGGAAAGCATATCATAATATCATCACTCCAAAATTAGGATATCTTAGTCCTTTTTTTTTTAAATCAAAATTAAAAGAGAGACAGGAACAGGGACAGGGACAGGGATCTCTAAATTGGTGTAGAGGACATCAGAAAAAGAGACTTGGGTTCATTTTGACCATAAGGACAGCTTCTCTCCATGAACAGAATCTTACTGAACATCCCATATAATATTGGCAAGGTAAAGTATTGAAATGAGCCAAGAAAAATATTGTACAGTATGCAATGCAAATAAGAATAAGTAAGTAGTTGGTAAATATAAAAGACTTCTAATTGAATATTATTATGTTATTCAGATCTGTCCACTGAGCAGTATGAAAAACCTTTACATGGATTTTGACTGCAGTTCTCTCTAAACCTAGGAACAGCAATGAATAGATAGGAAGGCAGCTATAATAAAGGTAATTTGAGTTTTTGTTTGTTTCCACAATGATGAAGAAACATCTAGGGGTGTTAGTTTGGCCAATATTCCACTAGAAATCAGAAATATGAACCAATAAGAGAATCAGCAAATTCTGATCTTTCCTCCAGTGGAATACAGTGTATTTAACACTTAAAACATAGAATGGGATACAGAAGAGTACATGCAAAAGCCAATAACGTCTGAGAACTTTGAGTCATGTGGATGCATACATCATTTGAAATGTAGTTTTATTTTTGAAAAGTTTTTTTTTATTGAAAAGTTTTACAGAAAAAAAAGAATTTTCTTCCCCCCATGTTCCCCCCACCCTTTCCCTCCCCTTATCCCACCCTCCCCCCAGACTTCCCAGAGCAAAATACAAGGTATTTCATTTAACAATCATAAACTAGATTAACCTACTTATCCTCAGACTACTAACTCCCCCCCTGAAACCTTAACTCCACTATAGATAACATAATACTTCTAATACTTAAGGTTCATTCATAAGCTATTTGATATTTTCTTGTCTGATACTTATTTTGAATATAATCAATCCATCTTCTCCATTCCGATACGTATCTTTCTTGTGTATAGTCCTTCAGGTACACTGAGATTTTCGCCATTTCTGCTAAGTTCATTACTTTCAGTATCCACTCTTCAATAGTGGGCAAAGAGTCCTTCTTCCAATATTGCGCTACCAACAGCCTAGCTGCTGATATTAAGTTCAAAATCAATTTAGTCTCTGATACTGTACAGTCCGTCGTTATACCCAATAGAAACAATTGAGGAGTAAATTTCAACCTTCTTTTCAGAATATTCTGCATCACCTACCAAATTTTTATCCAAAATGCCTTGATTTTCTTACAGGTCCACCATATATGATAATAGGTTGCATCATTACATTCACATCTCCAACATTTAGCTTGCAAATTCGAGTACATACACGATAATTTTTTAGGATCTAAGTGCCATCTATAAAACATTTTATAAAAATTTTCTCTCAAATTTTGTGCTTGCGTAAATTTAACATTTCTGACCCAAATCTAATCTGTTTCACCAGATTTTCCTCATTTTGCATAACACCAATTTTTTGATCTTCCCTCCATCTAGCTTGAAGCTGACCATACTGAAACCAAGTATAAATTATCCCTTCTTCTTTTAATTCATCTAAAGATTTCAGTTGCAACTTACCCCTTTCCAAAAGAAGAAGCTCTTTATAAGTAATCACCTCTATTTTTTGCTCTATACTTATATTTTCTATTGCATGTCTGGGATTTGCCCATATGGGTATCTTATAATTTAGCATATATTGGTACTTTTTCCAAACCCTCAACAACGCATTTCTAAGTATATGACCCTTAAACACTTTATCCACTTTTTTTTCATATAACAGATAAGCATGCCATCCATATAACAAATCATAACCTTCTATGTTTAACATTCTTTTTTCAGTTAAATTAAACCAATCACTAATCTGTGATAAAGCAGCTGCTTCATAATACCATCTTAAGTTAGGCATTAAGACCTCCTCTCTCACGTATATCCTGTATAATTTTCAGTTTCACTCTTGGTTTCTTCCCACCCCAAATGAAGGTATTAACCCCTTTAACCTAGGTAGTACATTCATTTTTATGGCTGCTATCTTTCCCAGTAATGATAGTTGTAACTTTTTCAAATTTTCCATTTCTTTCTGTACTTTTTGCCAAAGAGCTTCATAATTATTTTTAAACAGTTTCGTGTTTGAGGCTGCCATTTGCCTCCCTTTTATAAAGCCTGATTGATCATTATGAATTGTTTGTTGCATAACTGGCATTAATCTATTCGCTAATATCTTAGCAAAAATTTTATAATCCGTGTTCAAAAGTGAAATTGGCCTAAAATTTTCAGGTTTAGTACAATTTTGATCTTCCTTCGGGATCAGTGAAACAAAAGCTGTTCTCCAAGAGGGTAGAACTCCTCCCCCGATTGAATTTTACAAAATAGAACTCTAAGCGGTTCTACCATTTCAAGCTGTAAATTCTTATAATAAACAGCTGTTAATCCATCTGTTCCCGGAGCTTTCCCTATTTTTAATTGCTTAATTGCATCAATAATCTCCTCAGAAGTTATTGGTTGATTCAATCCTTCCCTCTGTTCCAACGTTAATTCAGGAATATTCCCTTCCTTTAAATATCTATCTATATCTATACCTTGTATTGAGTCACTAGCATATAACTTTGTATAAAATTCTAAAAAAGCCTTTTTGATCATATTCTGTTGGTAAACTTGCTTGTCTCTAAATTCTATTTTACCAATGACTCGTGATTTCTGTTTTTTCCTCAACATGTAGGCCAACCACCTACCTGGTTTGTTGGCATTACAAAATGTATTATGTTTAGCATATTGTAAGCTAGTTGCCACCTGATCATCCATTAGCATATTAAATTGCCCTCATAGTATATTTATTGTTTCTTTTACTTTCTTGTCTCCTGGATTAAATATAAGTAATTGTTCTTTCTTTTTTTATTTATTCCTCTATCTCTTTCCGCTTCTTTTGTTGTTTTAGTCTATATTTATTATTCATATATATTAACATACCCCTCATATAAGCCTTACTAGCATCCCAGACCATTTCCATAGAAGTACCCTTATTCATATTAATAACAAAAAATTCTTTCATTTGTTTTTTAAGCTCTTTCACATTTTCTTCATATCTAAATAAATTTTCATTTAACCTCCAAGACCTCCTTTCTCCTCTCTCCTGTTCAAATTCCACCCAAACCGGACTGTGATCCATTAAAATTCTTGGACATATCTTCTTCTTCTTCACCCTGGAAATAAAATCATTTGTGGTTAGTATAGAATCAATCCTGGAGAAGGATTGATGTCTATCAGAAAAAAAAGTAAAGTCTCTTTCCTCCATGTTACGTTCTCTCCAAATATCTCTCAGTTCTATATCTTCCATCATATCAAAAAAAGATTTAGGTAATTTTGCACGTGTTGAGATAGTGAAATACTTTCTTTCTTTTTTGTGGTGAATTTAGGCCATTGACATTCCAAGATAGGAATTTAGTTGCCATCTTTAGCCTTTCAAAGCTGTATGAGCATCAGCTGAAGCTCCTCCTCCACCTTACTCTTCGGCCTAGCCCCCCCCCACTGCTTCTGTTTTTTAAACTTCTTGAGATAAATCTTGAGATTGTTGCATTTTTGATTGTTGTTCTTGAAGTTTATAAATTGATCAGGTCAGTCATTGTGCTTTCGGCTCTCTCTTCTTAGGTGGTTCCAAAGTTGGGGGTAAACCCCCAAGATCCAAATCTTCTTCCATGATAATTCCTCCAGCTGCAACCTCCGCATAAGTTTGTATCTGCTTTCCATCTTTTTCTTGTTGTATCATCTCCATTTTCTTCCTCCCCCCACCCCTGGTGAGGGTGGGTATCCAGCCTTTAAAACATTGACATAAAAATCTTTCACCTTCCAGACTGTGTTTAACCGGTATCTTTCTCCATTATAAGTCACTATTAGACCAGTTGGAACGTCCCATCTGTATGCCACTTGTTGATTTCTCAGTTCATTTACCAAAAAGCCAAAGTCTTTTCTACTTCTCAGCATCTTTGGAGGAATCTCTTTCAAAACCATCACCTCTTGCCCAGCCACCTGAACTTTATTCTTCTAGGAATCTTATAAAATATCATTTCTGATCCTCCTGGTTGTAAAATAAATCATCACATCTCTTGGCAGCTGTCTTTGTCTTGCCAGACAGGAGTTAACCCTGTAAATTTTATCAATTCGGCTTGCCACATCTTCTGGTCTTTCTTTAATTATCTCTGCAATAGCATCGGCACAAATATCTTTTAAATTTTCTTTGCTGTTTTCTTTCAGGTCTCTCAATCTCAAAGCAAATTCCATGGATCTGTATTGTAACATTACCAGTTCATCATCTACTTTCTCTGTTTTGGTCATTACATATCCCATTTTGCTTTCCAAATTTAAATTGGCTTCATTAATTCCTTCCACTTTCCCATCAAGCTGGATAAC